TTTCTTCCTTTCTTCCTTTCTTCCTTTCTTTTGGTACCGGGAGTTAAATTCGGGGCCTTGTGATTGCCAGGCAGGCACTGTGCTGCTGAGTTATATCCCTGGCCTGAAAGGTGAAATTTCTAAAGCTATGCAATTGGAAATAAGTTATTAAGGCAACAGGTAATAAAGAATGGAACCTACTCTTTCTGCTATCATGTACAGGGCTGTGCAAATGTGGCTGCCCTTTCCTATCTGTAGCCTTAACAGCCAAATCAGAGGTCCTGTCCTTTACCTCCAGACTTCAGATGAAACTGCTGTCAGTCTGAAGGAGTAGGAGCTGTGCTACTGAGATGATCGCAAGTAGACAGCTGCATTTCAGGTAAGCAGATCGCATGACATAAAGGATCTCCTCTGCAGAGGACGCTGCCTGGATAAACAGAGTAAGGACGTCATACAGGATTGAAAGCTGTCTTCCTTCTAGGTGGAAGGAAATTCTTTATCATGGTAGATTTCAATGTTGACTCTCTATGTGGGCTTCAAGATATGTCCCTATTACTAAACCCGAATAATGTTCACCCTGGAATTCTGTAGAGGGTAGGGAACCTAACTGTAAAGAGGCATCTGCTACCATATTCAACCTTCAGTCCTGCAAATAGAAAACGTTCTGGAAACATCTGGAATTATTAGGCCAAGGAGAACCACAATGAAATTGAAGAAAGTGGGACTTTACGTCACCAGGGGTGAGAGTGGCCAGGAGCACACCCTTCAGACTCTTACTCTCCACACACGCTTTTTACTCATGGGGGCATAAAGTCTGATCTTCTGGGGTTTGCAGAGAAATAAACAAAAATCCTTTGCTTCAATGTAATCGCTCAGATACTATTAAAATGTACTCTTTTATTTTAAGTAACAAGAAATCTTTCATTTAAAACATTGAGAAGCATATCTCAGCTATTTGTGTATTCCCAGAGCATGCCAAATATTAAAACACGCTTGAAAACAATGAAATGAAATTGTGTCTGGCTGTGACCTAATCAAGCTGTGGACAAGTGCCTGGTAGCGACCGCACGTGGTAAGCATTGTTCGGCAGTGATGAGTGCTAACAATGGCAAGACTGCACCCTTCACTTCCCGATTTCCTGGAGGAGCCCTGAGAATCTGAGAGAACCGGCGGGTGGGCATGCACTGCATAGTGGTCTCCTCAAGGGCAAAAATACCCTGTTTCTTAACTATAAAGTCACTTATATGTGAAGAATGTTCATCCAGGGGAACTTGGATTATAAAACATCTATTTTAAAAAGAAGTGAGGAAAGGCAGGATGGAAAATTATATTTTGAATTTCAACAAAATATATTGGTAAATGTTCCCTTCCCTCATTTCCTTATGTATACACGTGGTGTTGCAAAAATACGGTCAGTACCATTCTGATCTCTTGCTCCCTCCCCCCGAAAGACACTGGCTCTCACGCTCCTTTGGAGGCTGCCTCTCTCCTTTGCCACACTTTTCTGAGTACCCAGATGATGTTTCCTGTCGGCTTTAGGGGAGCCTCCATGTCCTCCTTCCATTGCTGGCTGCTGGTGTCTTTTCATCTCTACATCCATTTCTCAGTTATTTTATCATTACGAGACAAATTACCTGAAACCCAGACAGTACGGAAGAAAAACTTTATTTTGGCTCACAGTTTGCAGTGACTGCAGTCCATAGTCACACGCCTAGGCAGTGTGGCATGGCAGAGGAAAAATTGCTCATGGCATGGCAGCAGGAAGCAGAGAAAGATCAAGAGGGGAAAGATGGAGCTACACCCTTCCAGGCGGCACCCTCAGTGATGAACCTCTTAAAATCAGACCTCACCTTCCAGTACCCCATTTAGCTATAAAGTCATCAGTGGACTAAGCCACTAATGAGCTTCATGCCCCCATGATCCAGTCATTTCCCAAAGGTCCCACCTATGAATGTGTGAGGCTTTGGTGAGAGAGCTAGATATAAACTACAGCAACACTGAAATCTCCAGTCTGCACCTTCTGTGTTGGGCCCAGCAATCTACCAGTGGACACTATTTATCTGGAGGTCGTCATCACTACAAAGGTAGAGTTCTCTGATACCAAAGGGTTGAATAGTCTGTGACCATGTTAGATTCTAATATAGGGTTCTTATTTCCTCACAATTACCCATGACTGGGGGGAGGCTCCTTTCAATTTTAGATAATCAATGTGCTGGGGACAGAAATAAATAAAGGGTGATGGCCACTATGCTGTTCTCAAAGCCACCACTTCCCTCTAAGGACCCAGGTTTTCTTCTTTATCAAATTTGTCTTCCTGGCTCTTTACATTTTCAAGGCAATTTTCTAGTAGGTTTCTTGGTGCTTATACAAATGAACCTCTGAGAGATTCTCCCTCCTGATTCTGTTGTCTAGGTTCATTCAAAGGCCCATGGTGCATGTTGTCTAAAACAAGCCACTGCTTCTGCCTGAAGCCCTCTCCATACAGATGGGAAAAGGATAATAATGACTTTTCCTCAGTAGGATTCTTCTTTACTTGGTCCAAATAAAACTTGGTTTCTGACACATGATTTAATGAGTTCATTCACAATGAAGTCTTAATGTGGCTTAAAATAGAAGCTACTCAAATTGTTGTTTACTTTTATAAGTATTTACAGACAATTGGAATTACAAGGCAATATTGTACAAAATAGTTCTCACAAGGGAAAGCTCAACAGCCTTGTGTCACCTTTACCTGCCTCCAAGGAGCCCTATGGAAACTCCCATGATTCTCCAGAGCAGTACTTTTGAAACTTTACTGTGTGTGCAATTATGTAGTGATCTCAATTATGTGGTGATCTCACTATAATGCAATTCTGATTCAGCAAGTTAGGGCGAGAGCCCAGATTCTGCCTTTAAAACAAGCTCCCAGGGTTGCAATGTTGCTGTGCAGATGTCTTTCTTTGAACCGCCAGGCTACGGAGAACAACTTTAAAACATTAGCTTCAAAGTCCAAACTTCACTGTGAGTTTCCTTAGGGTGTGAATAAATGACCAGATTTTTAATTATGAAATAAATGAGTGGATGCATTATTGTAGAGAGGCAGGCTCTAATACCGTAATTAAAACCCCTTTTGTTGTTGGGGATGCAGCTCAGTGGCACAGTGCCTGCCCGGCAAGTGCAAGGTCATGAGTTTGATTCCCAGTACTAAAAAAATCACTTTTGGTTTCTAAGCCCCATTAACCTAAAACTACTAGTAACTACTTAAAATCTGATAAAATCAGGAGTATTTACCCACATGGGAGATGATGCACGGGTCAGCTCACCAACAGAAAACATAAATCTTTAAATGCAAGAGTAATGGGAGGTGAAATGTAAACAAAACAACATTTTGATAGACTCAAAGTGAGGTAGGATTCTGCAAAGGGCCAAATCAGGTCTGAACTACAAGGCAGACCCAAAGCTGTGCTTCCTTTGACACACAAAATACAGGCAGGTGAATGGTGCACACAGAAACTCCTCTTTGGAAGCACTGCTTCTGGGCTGTGAATTAAGGATGCCTCTCTGTGTCAAAGTGACTTAAAAATGACTTTCTGTCCTCACTGATAGAATTTCAGACAGCCACACTCACTCAAGAAGGGGCTCATTATGACATTTGAGAGCTGTTATGTGACCTTGTGAGAGTGTTTCCTTATAACTTTGCAGAGCGGTCTTCACCGATGTCTGTTTATTCTTTCCACCTGATGAATGACCATTCTGATTTTACCAGTTGAAACTGAATTTAACATGCTTGGCTGCTAAGTTACAGAAATCCAACTCAAATTACTTTATGGGGAAACTGAATGGTGGGGTGGGACCAGGTGAAGTACCCTTCAAACTAATTGGAACCAAAGGAGAGGCAGTTTGGGGCTAACTAGATCTGGAGCTGAGAATAATACCATCAAGGCTGGATTTTTCTTTATTGTTAAGTCTTATT